GTGGCAGCCAGAGGGAGTCTCTTGTACCTACACTAGTCCCCGTCCCTGCTCTGCAGGGGGAAGCCTCCCATAGCTCCCATCTTGGAGTAAAAGCTACAGTCCTCACTGTGGTCCACAAGGCCCTGCCTGGTCCGGCCCTTTCCCCATTTCATTCCGCTCCCTCGGCTGTGTTCAGCCACCCTGTCCTTCCCACGGGACCCACCCACTTAGCCCCGTTGGCTTTGCCCCCAGCACCCTCTGCCACCAGCACTCCTCTGTCAGCTCCCCGATCCCAGAGCCAAGGCAGCCACTCTCAGGGAACTTCCCTTGCCCCACCCTTTCAAGGAGCCTGTGTGGGTCTGGTCCCAGCCTGAGGTCACCCTCCCTCACCTCTTTCCTTTTCCATCGCCTCTATCACCGTCTGAATTCACCTGTGGCCTGGGCCTGTTTCTCCCTGCTGGTCTTTCAGCCCCAGGAGGCTAGAGTGGCACCATTCTCCATGCCACATCTGGCACACTGCCTGGCATATAGTGGGGTGCCTAATGGCAATAGCCCGTGGCTTTGCGGGCCCCTGTGTGCCAGGCAGTTCCTAGGTGCTTTGCCTGTATTGGCTCATTTAAGGAGCAGATGGGCCGCGATCCCATTGACTTTGCGGAGGAGGAAGCTGAAGCCAGGAGGACCTGCCCCAGCTGGGGAGGGATCTGCCCCAGGCCTCAGTCAGCAATAAGCTGAGCTGACTCTGGAACCCAGCTCCGCACTGAGTCAGCCTGGTTTTCTGCCTCCTAACAAAGGCACCAGGCATCAGGAAGGGGCGCCGCGGACACCTTGGTGCGTGTTAGGCAAAGTCTGCCCCTTCCTCCGGGGGAGCAGGGCTTGGATTTCAGCCCATCCCCGGCCCTCACGCATCTTGGTGCTATGAGCACCTGCACCGGCCCACGCGGTGACCCGAGGAAGACATGAAGACCCTGTGAGGTTCAGTAAGCTGCTCGGGGTGTCAGCCAGGTGGCCCCAGCACCCTGGTCCCGCTGGCGGGCACTTGCACACCTTTGCCTCTGGGGTCCCCGGTCCAGCCCGTGCCTCCCCGCCGCACTCACTTGTAGCCCACGTCGCACCAGCCCAGTGTCTTCACGTGGTAGGACTGCACATTCTGGGTCTGCTGCTGGCACGAGGCTGGGGTGTTGCAGCTGCTGCCCGCCGTGTGCGACACCACCACATAGCGCAAGGGCAGGCTCAGGCGCTGGGCGCACTCTGAGTGCAGGGCCCTCCACTCGTCCCGGGGCACTATAGGGCTGCAGCAGGCCGGGGCTTCTGTCTTCCGAGCCTCTCCGAGTCGAAGGAGGCCGAGGAGAGCCCAGGCAAGCAGCGCGCAGCGGCGGGACATAGCGGCAGGGCGGCAGGGGCGGGGAGACCGCCAGGAGAGCCCGGTGGCGGGGCCGCCTTTATCTGCTGGGGGATTCCGAGAGTGGCCCGGAAAGTCTTGCTTCACACCCTGCTGGGACTTCCCTGCTGGCCCAGCAGACCCCAGACTCAGCTTCCTTCCCTGGCAGGGCCAGGGCGGGATGCACTGTGGTTGGGGTCTGGGTTGCGCCCATGGCAATGACAGGCCCCCTCGCTCAGCAGGAAGGGCCGCACAGGCCCCTGGCCGCTTCGCCCCGCCGTTTCCGGAAGACCTGGGGCTGGGATCCCGGTCCTGCTTGTCTCTCCCCCTCTCAGTGGAACATTGAACAACTCAACAGGAACTTACATGGCAGAGGCCCGGGGCGTTGGCACATCTCTCCGCAAGGACTGAGGTAACAAAGGTGTCCATTTTAAAAACACTTCCTTCTCCCAGGTCCAAGCCCGATGCCATTTACCCTTGCAGCAAACTCACGAGGTAAGTATCTGGAAGCCCATTTCACAGTGGAGTAAACTGAGGTTGGGAGCAGGTAAGTCACAGGCTGAGACGACGGAGGCACTGGAGCCCCGCGTCTAGAGCCAGGCTGCCTGTGTGTAAATCCTGGATACCTAGTGTGTGAGAGCCTGCAAGTGGTTTTTAAAAATGTGTATTTAAAAAATATATATATATTTTAATTTTATTTTATAAATAATATTTTACTTTTTTTTTTTTTTTTTGAGATGGAGTTTTGCTCTTGTCACCCAGGCTGGAGTGCAATGGTGCGATCTTGGCTCACTGCAACTGCCGCCTCCCAGGTTCAAGAGATTCTCCTGCCTCAGCCTCCTGAGTAGCTGGGATTACAAGCACGCACCACCATGCCCAGCTAATTTTTGTATTTTTAGTAGAGACGGGGTTTTGCCATGTTGACCAGGCTGGTCTCGAACTCCTGACCTCAGGTAATCTGCCCACCTCGGCTTCCCAAAGTACTGGGGTTACAGGCATGAGCCACTGCGCCTGGCCTAAGTTTTGTAATTAAAAAAAAAAAAAAAAAAAATATATATATATATATATATATATATATAGAGAGAGAGAGAGAGAGAGAGAGAGAGAGAGAGAGAGCGCGATCTCACCAGGTTGCCCATGGTTGGTCTCGAACTCCTGAACTTGAGCCATCCTCCTGCCTCAGCCTCCCAAGGTGCTGAGATTACAGGCATCAGCCACCATGTCCCGGCACCCTGCAAGTGATTGAACCTTCCTGTGCCTCAGTTTTCCCCACCTGCAATATGGGGATGACATAGTACCTGAGTCAGAGGGTTGATGAGGGATTAGATGGGTTGCAGGGGTAGAGCCCTTAGAAGGTGTCTGGCACAGAGTCCCACAGTCACACCCGTGGGACTGGAACTCCAGCCCACCCTTGGTAGGAAGAAACATGCTTTATACACGGGGACCTCTGGCAGCTCAGTTCGGGAGAGGAGGGAATCTGGGGTCTGGAGAGGAACAGCCATTTGCCCAGGGCCAGAGTGGGTTGGGGTCACCTGTTGGGGCAGAAGGCTTTCCCGGGCCCTCTGTCCTGCCTAGGTCCCCTTCCCATGCCTTCCTAGAGCCTGTGAGTTCAGGGCAGACTACCTTGTTTGTTCTTCTACCCCTTCTATTTTAGTGGCTCTTTAAAAAATTACAAAAGGGATCTCTCATTTGCCCTCTGGCAAGGAAATCAAAATAAATTACAAAAGTAACACATGCTGTAACAAGTTGAAGTGATACAAAATGTTAATCACCTGTGTCCCACCCCTCCAGCGCCACCCACCTGAGGCCACCTGGGAACAGTGTGGTGTGTTTTTCTTTTTTCTCCCTTCCTTCTTTCCTTCCTTCCTTCCTTCCTTCCTTCCTTCCTTCCTTCCTTCCTTCCTTCCTTCCTTCCTTCCTTCCTTTTCTCTCTCCTTCCTTCCCTTCTTCTTCCTTCCTTCCTTCAACCTTTTCTCTCTCCTTCCTTCCTTGTTGTACCAGCCCTTCCTTCCTTCCTTCCTTCCTTCCTTCCTTCCTTTTCTCTCTCTCTTTCCTTCCTTCCTTCCTTTCTTCCTTCCTTCCTCCCTCCCTCCCTTCTCTCTCTCCCTTTTCTTTTCTTTTCTTTGTCCCCCTCTGTCACGCAGGTTGGAGTGTAGTGGCATGATCTTGCGCTGAGTGCACTGTGGAGTGTAGTGGCATGATCTTGGCTAGTGCACTGCAAGCTCCGCCTCCTGGGTTCAAGTGATTCTCCTGCCTCAACCTCCCAAGTAGCTACAATTAGAGGCGTGTGCCACCATGCTCAGCTAATGTTTGTATTTTTGGTAGAAACAGGGTTTCACCATGTTGGCCTGGCTGGTCTCGAACTCCTGACCTCAGGTGAGCCACCCACCAGTCTTCCAGAGTGCTGGGATTACTACAGGCATGAGCCACCGCACCTGACCAGTGTGGTGTGTTTTCATCTTCCATGTCCTGCATTCTCACATACAGTGTACTCATGCTGTTACTGAATTGTGCACCAGGCATCTGTGGCACTTTTTAGAAATTATCACGTACTCATGACAAGCTTGCAAGATGCATGTTATTATTAGCCCCTCATACAGTTGACGAAACTGAGGCCCGGGCAGATGATCACATACAGGAGGTGGTGAAGCCGGGGTTTGGCTGCAGGCTTTCTGCCTGCAGAGTTATAAACCATATTCTCTTCCCTACAAACTTATTTTTTTTTTTTGAGACGGAGTCTCGCTTTGTTGCCCAGGCTGGAGTGCAGTGGCCGGATCTCAGCTCACTGCAAGCTCCGCCTCCCGGGTTTACGCCATTCTCCTGCCTCAGCCTCCCGAGTAGCTGGGACTATAGGCGCCCGCCACCTCGCCCGGCTAGTTTTTTGTATTTTTTAGTAGAGACGGGGTTTCACCGTATTAGCCAGGATGGTCTCGATCTCCTGACCTCGTGATCTGCCCGTCTCGGCCTCCCAAAGTGTTGGGATTACAGGCTTGAGCCACCGAGCCCGGCCTCTTCCCTACAAACTTATATAAGGACATTAAAAAAAGTAACAAAATCAAAACCGTGTGCATCAATTTACCTTTTGTCACCTAATATTTCATGGGCATCTCACCAGGGCAGTATATCTAATTCTAATTTATTCTTTGTAATAGTTGCACAATGTGCTGTAGTATCAGTTCAGCATTGTGGATCTTTTAGTTTTTGAAGTTTTCCAGTATTTTCCCCACACTACGCAAAATATTTTCAGACATATGTCCCTATGCACTGGTGCATTTATAAGTAAATTATAAACATAGAGTTATTAGGTCAATGAGTATACATATTTAATTAATATTACCAGATTGTTTTCCCCAAAAAACTATTAATAATTCATATTTTTCACCAGTAATGTTTTGGAGCCTCCTTACCCCGACCCCAGAAGTGGGTGTTATCACTTCTTTTTTTTTTTTTTTTTGAGTCAGAGTCTCGCTCTGTCACCCAGGCTGGAATGCAGTGGCAAGATCTCGGCTCACTGCAACCTACACCTCCTGGGTTCAAGCTATTCTCCTGCCTCAGCCTCCCAAGTAGCTGGGACTACAGGCATGTGCCACCATACAGGGCTAATTTTTGTATTTGTAGTAGAGATGGGGTTTCACCATGTTGGCCAGGCTGATCTTGAACTCCTGACCCCAGTGATCCACCCACCTCGGCCTCCCAAAGTGCTGGGATTACAGGTATGAGCCACCTTGCCTGGCCAGCGTTATCACTTCTTAAATTTATAGGTGTAAAGTGACAGCTCCTTTGGCATTTTTATGCCCACTCAGGAGACTGGGTATTTTTCCATATTTGTTGTCTATATTTGGGCTTGCTTTTTTGTCAATTACCTATTCATATCCATTGCCTATTAAAAAAAATTGGGTTGTTTGCCTTTTTGTTATTATTTGCAAAATGAACAAAAGTATCACATAATTGGGATTATTGAGTTCTTGGGTGTGTACATTTTGTGTATTTCAGTTTCTTTTAGAAGCATTAAAGAATAATGTAATATAAAAAGTGTACAAACACATTTTTTGTAGAGTTGATAGACTTAATAGAGTAGTGAGCCTATGAATTTTCATGAAGTGAATACACCTGTGTATCCAGTGCCTGGATTAAGAAGTAGAGCTACACTTAAAATTTTAATAGGAGTTGGTAAATACAATACCAAAAAGATTTTAGTATTTATTTTTCCCACAGTGTGATCAGTTTTTAAATGTTTTACTAATCCAAAGAACAAGATCTCATTATTGCTTTATTTGCATTTCCTTGAACATTAGAGAGGTGATTAACTTTTTACATATTTATGGGTATCAGCATCCATCTTCAAACCATCTGTTAATCTCTTCTGATCATTTTCTTGTTGAGTTGTATATGGGGGATATTAACCCTATGTCTTATTGAATGTGCTGCAAACCTTTTCCTCTAGTCTGTTAAAAAATATCTAAGTTTTTCTATTATGGTTTCTGTTTCCTGTCTTGCCTTAAGAGGGACTTTTCAGATTGTAGAACTTTTTGTATTTAAGAAAGATGATTTTGTGTTTTACTTTTAGATCTTTACCTCAGCTAAAATGTATACTTGCATGTGGTGTGAGGTAGGGGTCTGACCTTGTTTCCAGATGGTAAGCCATTTGCCCAAGTTCTGTTTATTATATAGGTAGACCTGGTTTTAAATTTCCATTCTGCCCCTTATTAGCTGCATGATCTTGGGCAACTGGATAGCAATTGACACAGTCGACCACTTCCTCTTTCTCAAAATACTTATTTCCCTTAGCTTTTGTGATGTAAGACTGCCTTGATTTTCCTTCTGCTTCTCTGGCTGGTCTTTCTTCTCTCTTTTTTTCAGAGTAATTCTTCCTTCCTGGACCCTCACACCATATATTTTGTGCTGAGTGATCTTATCCACATAATGGCTTCAGCCACAGTCAAAATGCAGAGGATTCCTGTATTTCAATGTCTAGTCTGGAGCGCTCAGTTGAGTTCTGGATCTGTGTATCCACCTGGCCACTTGACGCCTCCACTTGGATGTCCCACAGGCACCTCCAATGCAAAATGACTCATGATCTTCTCCTCCACATCAGCACTCTCACAGGAGTTCCTGTCTAAGGGAATGGCATCACCATCTTCCCATTATAAAAGCCATACATTTGAGCATCATCCTTGACTAATTCCTGTTCCTTCCTTTGTTGTACCCAGCGCCCAAAAGAATGCCCAGCACATGGTAGGTGCTCACTAAATAGCTACTTGATCGAATGGATATTCTACCCACCACCAAGTCATGACACTGTGATGAATTAGAACTCTTCTATTTACTTCCAGTCTCTGCACCCTGGTCCAGACACCGCCTCCTTTCACGTGGATTTTGCCCTGCCTCTTCAGTGACCTCCCAGGATGCACTCTGGCCTCTGTGAGGCCAAAGCTCTGCCCAGGTCTTTTCTGAAGGTCACCCTAAAAAATGAGTCACATTTTTCAGTGGCATCTCATGATTTCTAGAATGAGGCCCAAGCTCCTCCCCATGGGCAGCAGCACAGGCTGCCTACAGTGTGGGCTGACCCCATCCCAGCCTCACCTTGCTCACTCCCAAAAACCTTTTTCTGCCTCCTGCAGCCACTGTCCCCTTCTTGCTGTCCTTGAACATGCTTTGACTACCCTGTCCACTTGGGGACTTCAGACACACCGGGTATAAGTTTTAAATAGAGGAACCTGGAACTAATTCAGAAACTTTGTACCTGAGCTTTAAGACAACAAAACACCAAGCCAGCCTTTTGTAAAAAGACAGGACTATTTACACATCAGATTCCTTTTTTAAATTTTTATTTTCTTTTTTCCCTTTCTTTTGCCTGTTTTTTCATTTGAGGCACAGATTCCTTAAAGACACTAAGAATATAAACATTAGCTAGCTGGAGCGAAGCCTTCCATTGTGAGAGTTTTATTTAGTCTGTATCTTTAAAAAATGTATTTACTTATTTATTTTTTGAGACAGTTTCACTCTGTTGCCCAGGCTGGAGTGCAGTGGTGCAATCTTGGCTCACTGCAACCTCTGCCTCTTGGGTTCAAGCAATTCTCTTGCCTCAGCTTCCGGAGTAGCTGGGATTACAGGTGCCCACCACCATGCTCAGCTAGTTTTTTTTTTTTTTTTTTTTTTTTTTTTAGTAGAGATGGGAGTTTCACCATGTTGGCCAGGCTGGTCTTGAACTCCTGACCTCAGGTGACCTGCCTGCCTTGGCCTCCCAAAGTGCTGGGATTACAGGTGTGAGCCACCATGCCCGGCCATATTTACTTACTTATTTTTACATACAATACAAACACTTTAAATAGAGTTGAAGATCATCTCCGTGCACCAAGTGGTCAAGCCCAACACCCAGGATCCAGCTGTCAAGTTCAGGGTAGCCCTTGAGCCTCTCACTCTTGACTCCAACAGGGTGAGCTTGCTATCCTTGTGGCATGGGGCCTTTTGCATTGTGGATAATGGAGCGGCTCATGTAGTCCATAAGTTTTGTGTGTACCTGTGTACCCTGTCTCTGTGAGCTGGTCCTGCCCAGTACCTCGGTGACCTCGAGGAAAGAAGCTGAGGTAAGACCTGGCCTGTCTGGCTCCTCTACTTCCTTCCTCAGCCCTCAAATTCTGGCCTCCACCTCACTCTTTAAATTTATTTTTATTTTAAATTTCATTTTAGAGACAGTCTTGCTTTGTCACCCAGGCTGGAGTGCAGTGGCACCATCATAGCTTACTGCAGCCTTGAACTCCTGGGCTCAAGGATCCTCCTGCCTCAGCCTCCCAACATGGTGAGATTATGGACATGAGACACTGTACTGGGCCTGTTGTGTGTCTTGTCAGCCTAAAATTGAAACATGCCTTGTGAGCATTTACTGCAACTTCAATGAGTGATTATTATGTTGCCTTTAATCCTGAGAGACTATATTACTTGTATACTTTTTTTTTGATAGGGGAAAATTAGATTTACTCCCTATGTGTTTAAATATCAGAGTCACTAGCTGCCCTGATTTAATCTGTTGTAATTAAGTCAGTTAAAAAACTCCTCCTTGGCCGGGCGTGGTGGCTCACACCTGTAATTCCAGCACTTTGAGAGGCCGAGGTGGGCGAATCACTTGAGATGAGGAGTTCGAGACCAGCCTGGCCAACATGGTGAAACTCTGTCTCTACTAAAAATACAAAAATTAGCCGGGCATGGTGGTGCACGCCTGTAGTCCCAGCTACTCGGGAGGCTGAGGCAGGAGAATCGCTTGAACCTGGGAGGCAGAGGTTGCAGTGAACTGAGATCATGCCACTGCACTCCAGTCTGGGTGACACAGGGAGACTCCATCTCAAAAAATAGATTAAAAAACAAACAAAAAAACTCCTCCAGTTTTCTTGCTGTTAGCAAAAAACACTTATGTTCTTTGTTGTATTAAAAATGATGAAAATAAAATCAAATGGTGATGATTACAAGGACATATTTAAAATACAATGCAGAATCTTCACGTACCTTTCACTCCTTGCTGCTCCCAAGCCTGTAATTCTCTCTCCCTTCTTTTGCCTCATCTAATTGTCACTTGTTGTTTCTTCTGTCACCTCATCAGGATGATACCTCCTTTCTGTTATTTTGGAGGAGGATGGATCCCCCATTTGCTTTCCTCACATTGTTTCTTCTCCTTTGCATTCGTCACAACTGTAGTTTCTAATTTACTTCTGTATTTTTCTAATACTAGGTTGGTGCAAAAGTAACTGCGGTTTTTGCCATCAATGGAAAAATCGTGACACTTGAGACTGAAAGAGGGAGCTACTAGTAATTATTATAATTAATAATTAATTATGCTGGGAGGCCGGGCACAGTGGCTCGCGCTTGTACACCCAGCACTTTGGGAGGCTGAGGTGGGCGGATGACTTGAGGTTAGGAGTTCAAGATCAGCCTGGTCAACATGATAAAACCCTGTCTCTCCTAAAAATACAAAAATTGGCCGGGCGCGGTGGCTCAAGCCTGTAATCCCAGCACTTTGGGAGGCCGAGACGGGCGGATCACGAGGTCAGGAGATCGAGACCATCCTGGCTAACACGGTGAAACCCCATCTCTACTAAAAAATACAAAAAATTAGCTGGGCGTGGTGGCGGGCACCTGTAATCCCAGCTACTTGGGAGGCTGAGGCAGGAGAATCGCTTGAACCCGGGAGGCAGAGGTTGTAGTGAACTGAGATCACGCCACTGCACTCCAGTCTGGGCAAGAGAGCCAGATCCTGTCTAAAAAAAAGCAAAACAAAACAGCAACAAAACCCCCAGGAATTCCTGTACCCACATTCTAGTGGGGAAGACAGGAAGCAAATTAACCAACATCTAATAACTATTTTAAAAAGCCAGATATACGATATTTCACGTGGATGACCCGATTGACTTGCTGCGGGTCAGGTAAACAGGCTCCCGGTTCGCATCCTCAGCTTGGTCTTGGCGCTGGGGAAAATATGCTACACGGTTCCCCGCTTCAGCCACCAGAGGGCGCGCCCTCCCCGTGTGTCGTCTTTAGCGCACTTTTTCTCCCGCTGCTGTCAGTCACAGGGCAGCCCCTTAGCGGAACAGAGATCCTGTTCTGAGATGTTCCTGGGGGCCTGCCCCTCCCAGGGAGTAACGGGCTCCTATGAACAGTAATAGCAACCATAATGTAGAGACTAAGAGCAAAGAGTTAGTGAGTTTTATGCTGATGTCCAAAGTCATAGGGCATTTCATTTTTCTTCTTTTTTTCCTTTCCTTTAAAAAAATTGGCTGGGTATGGTGGCTCATGCCTATAATCCCAGCTCTTTGGGAGGCCGAGGTGGGTGGATCACCCGAGGTCAGGAGTTCGAGACCAGCATGGCCAACATGATGAAACCCCCGTCTCTACTAAAAATATAAAAAATTAGCTGGCTATGGTGGTGGGCGCCTGTAATCCCAGCTATTCAGGAGGCTGAGGCAGGAGAATCACTTGAACCTGGGAGGTGGAGGTTGCAGTGAGCCGAGATCGCGCCACTGCGTTCCAGCCTGGGTGACAAAGCGAGACTCCGTCTCAAAAAAAAAAAAAAAAAATTGCGATTGGGTCGTGAGAGCTCTGTTCTCATAAATAAATAAATACATTCGTGAATTAATAGGTTAATAGATTAATGGGTTATCATGGTAGTAGGACTGGTGGCTTTATAAGAAGAAGAAGAGAGAGTAGCTAGCATCCTCAGCCTCCTCGCCATGGGATGCCGCATGCTGCCTTGACACCCTGTAGAGTCCCCACTAGCAAGAAGGCTCTCATCAGAAGCAGCCCACACGGTGGCTCAAGCCTGTAATCCCAGCACTTTGGGAGGCCGAGATGGGAGGATCACGAGGTCAGATCGAGACCATCCTGGCTAACACGGTGAAACCCTGTCTCTACTAAAAAAAAAAAATACAAAAAACTAGCCGGGCGAGGTGGCAGGCGCCTGTAGTCCCAGCTACTCAGGAGGCTGAGGCAGGAGAATGGCGTGAACCCAGGAGGCGGAGCTTGCAGTGATCTGAGATCCGGCCACTGCACTCCAGCCTGGGCGACAGAGCGAGACTTTGTCCCAAAAAAAAAAAAAAAAAAGAAAGAAAGAAAAAAAAAGAAGCACCCCACAGTTTCAGCCTCAGAACTGTAGGAAATAAATTTTGTTTCTTTATAAGTTATGCAGTTTCAGGTATTCTGTTATAAGCAACAAAAAATGGACTAAGACAGGAATATTACTGGGTTAAGACATAAAAAAAGAACTATTGATACATGCAACAATCTGGATAAATCTCAAGGGCATTATGCTAAGTGGATAAAAGTCAATCTCAAAAGATTTCATACTATATAATTCCAATTATATAACTTTTTTTTTTTTTTTTTTAAACGGAGTCTTACTGTGTCACCCAGGCTGGAGTGCAGTGGCATAATCTTGGCTCACTCTTCATGCAACCTCTGCCTCCCAGATTCAAGCAATCTCCTTGCCTCAGCCTCCCAAGTAGCTGGGATTACAGGAGTGCACTACCACACCCGGGTAATTTTTGTATTTTTAGTAGAGGTGAGGTTTCACCATATTGGCCAGTCTGGTTTTGAACTCCTGACCTCAGGTGATCCACCCGCCTTGACCTCCCAAAGTGCTGTGATTACAGGCGTGAGCCACAGCGCCCGGCCTATATAACCTTCTTACAATGAGAAAACAACAGAGATGGAGAACAGATTGGTAGTTGCAAAGGGACAGATATAGTGTGTTTGTGTATGTGTGTGTATATGTGTGTGTGCGCATGCCACTATAGTGGTAACACAGGGGAATTCCTTTGTGGGTCTATATCTTGATTGTGGTGGTGTATATACAGATATTTACATGGATCAAATTGTGTAGAAACACACATGCACATGCATGCACACACATACACAGGAATGCATGTAAAACTGGTGAATACTGAATCAAGTCCTCTGTAACCTAGTTAACAGTAATGTACCCATGTCACGTTCCTGGTTTTGATATTATGCTGTGATTGTATAAGATGTTCCCATGTGGGAATACTGGATGAATGTTACATGGGACTATAGGTACTATTTAATTTCCTGTGAGTCTGTAAGAGTTCAACACAAAAAGTAATTACAAAAGAAGAAAAGAAAAGGTGCTGGTGATGACAAGGTTGTTGGGAAAAGGGCTTGTGGGGTGCCTGCATAAACTGGCCATAAAAATATGGGACCATAGGCCGGGCGCGGTGGCTCAAGCCTATAATCCCAGCACTTTGGGAGGCCGAGACGGGCGGATCACGAG